AAAGTATTTTTTATTACATATTATATTATATAAGCCGTATTAATATGTTGTATAGTCATTTTTCCCATGTACCTATGGTAAGTTTCGCCAGCCAACTATGAGATCCTTGACTATATAGTATATAGTATATAGTATATACCATAGGAAAGTTTACCATGTCCGATTCCATATTTTACTATATCTATGTCGAGTCCATTACCGTCGAGAATCTTACTATGTCATATGGTAACTATGACTACGGCATATAAAAACCATTAACACAACATAGTTATTTTATTTTATTGCCAGTTCCACAAATATTTGGTGAGCAATTTTTCATTGACTATTTTTCTCCTTTATTTGAATGTGCATCCAAATTAAACGGACTGGCGGGTGGATTCTACTTTCCGAGATATTGACATGGGGATGCATTATAAAATACCAATTGCATTAAAATTCGTGGAATGTGACGGATCTAATTGGAGTATGCGAAATTCTATACGGACAAAATGATCTCTTTTCATGTGGCCGTCCACATATTTTGACTCGGATGATTTTACTCATGATTAAACCGAAATAATTTTACTCATGATTGAATCCAAACTATTGGACAATAACATGGAGTCCCTCATATTCGATATTTATGGCAATTAGACTAGAGGTAGTACAAACAAATTCGTTTTAATCAGAAAATGAGTGAGCAATTATTTGGAATTCATTTCATTATTATGATCTGTGGTAACGAAAAACTCAACTTCAAACATTAAATTCTCTGCCTTTTGCTTAAATGGAAATATCGCAATGAGTGAAATTAAACAATTTCTATTTTTCACATATACGTATTATTGAGCCCTAATCGTCGATATTAATTAGGATTCAATTGATTGATTTTGTCCAAAATTTTTTTTTCACGATAACTGAACAAAAAATATTGTTGGAGGTAAAAGATGGAAATAAACATAATAACCGTCCTGTCGATTTATAGATTGTACTTCAATTGAATTAAATTAGAGTTTAAAATAGTAATTTCAATCCTGTTAAAATTAGGAGATAGTTACAAGAGCTACATGTATTAATATAATTCTTCAAACAATTTTTGCTAATTTCAAATTTCCTAGATGGCAAATGACTATTCGGAAGTGAATTGGTAATTTGTTGGCATGAATACCTGTAGTATAAGCAATAAAACAGTAATTTCCCACTTTTTTATATTAAATAATATCAGAAGTATATTGCTAGGAATTTAAAATAGCCACTGACTACAGCAGTGCCACGCAAACAGTTAGAACTACAATCGTTTTATCGATAAAACAGAACTAATTCGTTTTTCACGGGAATCTGTCATATCAACCTCATCCACCACTTCCTGTCTCTTTTTACTCGTGGTAGACATCCGGTACGTTTCAGCCTGTGGTACTCTGTAATAAATTTTCCAAAATATTTACTATTATACGTTTTTGCGAGAAAATACTCGTTGTTATTGATCAAGTGTATATTAATGTTCACTTAGTAATTAATTGTGAGGGTGATTTCTGTGAATTTCATGTCGATTTAAATGGATTGCGAGAGTGATAGATAGTGGGGTTAGACCATTGCTGTTTACACCTCAATTCATTATTAAAAAATATTCGCATAAAATTGATAATTGAAGTGAGCAGTAATGTAACTGTCAACTTATTTAACATTGAAATACCATTTTGCTTTAATTTTTCTATCAACATTCAATTTGCCAATCGTCATATGAAATCATTAGACCTAACCTCGAATTCCAATTATTGTTTTTATTTAAAAAGTTAACAATTGAAATTAAGAAGAAGGCACACTGCAATTTCATTGTGCTCATTCTAAGAAACTTCGGAAATAGTTCCATAATTTTTACATAAATTAACTAATCATTGGCAATAATCTGATGCTTCAACAAAAACAGAAATAATTTCAGTTCTAATTAATTAGTATAAAAATAATTCTAAACATAATTCTAGATTTTATAGATTGGGAGATATTAATTAAGAATTTACGTTGGAAATTACAATGAAATTTTTTGTACCCTCAATATATTGTCAGTAATTTACCATTTTATTCTTCCCTCTAGAAATGTCTGACTCGGCTGCAGCACCAAAGGCGAAAGCCAAGGCTCCCAAGGAGAAGAAAGCTCCGAAAGAGAAACCTAGTGAGCCAGCACCTCTGAAGAAGAGGCCTTTCAAGAGACACGGACGTCTCTATGCAAAGGCCATTTTCACTGGTTATAAACGAGGTCTTCGTAACCAGCACGAGCACACGGCTCTCCTTAAGGTCGAGGGAGCCAGATCTAAAGGAGATTCTGATTTCTACATTGGAAAACGTTGTGTTTATGTGTATAAGGTAATTCGCAAGTTAAAAAATTTTTTTCTTCCACATTAACTATTGTTTTTTAAAAATTCATCATATTATACTGAAGCCACTAAATTTTATTGATATATTCTCATGTGGATTCACAAACGATTGCTAAAATTGTGAAGACCTCGTAATTTTTCAAATGTCCGTCAGCAGAAATTCACCTTATCGTGTTTTTACTTTACAAAAATTGAGAGTGGTAACTATTATTTTATTTGAAATCTTGAGGGACAAAATAATCATTAGGATTTACTCTTCGATCAATTAGAGTAATGATTTATTTGCAACTTACCATCGCATCCCCAACGTAATTGATGTCAAAACTAATATATCGAATTTAATCAATAATTATTCAATCTTAATGAAAATTTGATCATTGAAGGCAAAGAACAAGACTCCAGTTCCCGGCAAGACCACGAAGAAAACTAAGGTGAGGGCAATTTGGGGTAAAGTAACACGTCCACATGGTACCAGTGGATCAGTTCGGGCTAAATTCAAGAGAAATTTACCCGCCAAGGCTATGGGTCACCGTATCAGAATTGTAAGTCCTCATTTTCAGAACAATTCAAAAAGAAAAGTTACAATTGTTTCGATTTTTAATGATGATTTTTTTGCAGATGTTGTTCCCCAGCCGAGTGTAAATCTAACTTGTACGCATTAAACAAAAAAAAATAAAAGACCATTTTGGGTATTTTTTTTGTTTTTTTATTATAATAAATATTATTAATGATCATTGTTCGCCATGTCGTAATCATAATGATTCCTTATTATTAACAATTAATTACTTCAATATTTTTGTTGGTAAATATGAGATTTTGGTAGGGAATGGCTTTACGAAAAAATGGCAAAAGCTTCAAGCCATTTACTATGATAGTAATACCAATTCTATGAGAAAAGATCAATAGATTTCAAATTTTGAATCTTTCATATTTTGCATGTACAATAATTTCTATGGAAAAATTGAAATCCAAATTTTTAATTTGTTCATTTTTCCTTATAGAATATCGAATATAACCGGTGCAAAACAAAACGAATACAATTTTCAATACGAATTGTATAGAAATTCCTGAAGCATTACAATACAATTTTCGAAGTAGTTTACAAATTCAATTTTTTAATATGTATATCCTTTAGTAAAAACATGAACTGGAAAGTTTCATGGCGAAGGGTATGTAAAAAGTTTCATTAGAGATTATACGAGAGATCAGCAGCACTTATGGCAGAAGTTAAACAGCGAAGTCAATCAGAGGCGGTACCCGTGAATAAGGCAGGGCACATCGCCGAGAGTGTGGATAACGGTGTAGGAGAGGTAGAGATAGAGTGGAGGAAATCGCGGAGATTGGAGAAATTGCATCTTCCATCCGAGTTATTGCGAGAATTTACACTGGAAAATTTCCATCTTTCGGTATTGAAGAAAAATCATTTTCCATCTCTGAAAAAATTCAACATGGGTTGGTTGGTTGAGCTGGTTGGTTGATTGGTTGATTGGTTGAGCTGGTTGGTTGGTTGGTTGATTGGTTGAGCTGGTTGGTTGATTGGTTGAACTGGTTGGTTGGTTGGTTGATTGGTTGGTTGGTTGGTTGATTGGTTGGTTGGTTGATTGGTTGGTTGGTTGGTTGATTGTTTGAACTGGTTGGTTGGTTGGTTGATTGAACTGGTTGGTTGGTTGGTTGGTTGAACTGGTTGGTTGGTTGGTTGATTGAACTGGTTCGTTGAACTGGTTGGTTGGTTGGTTGGTTGGTTGGTTGGTTGAACTGGTTGGTTGGTTGGTTGATTGAACTGGTTGGTTGGTTGATTGGTTGGTTGGTTGATTGGTTGGTTGGTTGGTTGATTGGTTGAACTGGTTGGTTGGTTGGTTGATTGAACTGGTTGGTTGGTTGGTTGGTTGAACTGGTTGGTTGGTTGGTTGGTTGAACTGGTTGGTTTGTTGGTTGATTGAACTGGTTGGTTGGTTGGTTGGTTGATTGGTTGGTTGGTTGGTTGGTTGGTTGGCTGGTTGGTTGGTTGGTTGATTGGTTGAACTGGTTGGATGGATGATTTTGGTTGGTTGGTTGACCTGGTTGGTTGGTTGGTTAGTTAGTAGATCTGATCAAATTGACCACATCGACTAAAATTCAATTAGTCTTCTCATGGTGAAAACATCCCCCAAACATTGCCATTACATCAAATAAACATCCCCAAAACGTCGAACAAATATCTCACCTTCGTTATAGTAACGAATTAGTGAAAGCCATCTTCTCCAAATTCACTCTAACAGAGAATATGCATGCCTTACGTGAAGAAATTGAATTTCCCCAATTTTTACTATCTGCTGGGAATGGAACATTGAATAGCACCGAATACGAGATATATCTAGCAGATGAGTGTATAGCACCTCCAGATGGAGATATCGCAGAGGAGGTGAGGTAAATGTATGGTTCAGGTCCACCAGAAAACAAAAATCATTGAAACGTGAATTTCTTTGAATGAAAACCATTCTTATCAGCTCAGTCGTCAAGAATAAGACGAAAAAAGAGAGAAACAACAAGGAGGGAAATACATCTATAAATAGTCCTGAGATAAACTCTGTTGTCCCTGAAATTCTTTAAACCTCCCCTTGCCTCTGTTATCGCTGTTGACGTGATGAGTGAGTGATTTTTAATTCAATATTTTGAATAGCTACAGAAGGGTAGCGGCGGATAAGTCACTCGTGGTGTTCGTTTAGCGATGGTAGATGGTCGGGAGATGTGAATTCAGAGTTTTAGTGAAGTGCTGAGGACTATTAGATAAATTCATCTTTCTGTGTCTCCACTGTTTTTAAATGTGCTAATATGTCTTTGGGGTCGACAGACCGCCACGTCCTCGCCGTGGCCCTGGCTAACGCAGTGAGCGGTGTATTAAATGTCATATCTCCCACACTGATTGTTACCAGATAAAAAGCTGACCACATCCCTAATCAGGTGACGGAAACCCATCCGACCAAATAAAAAAACATCTAGAATGGTTTGGTGGACCTGAACTAGACATTTGCCGGAGGTGATTTTTGAGTAATTATCAAAACATCAATTATCATTCTCATAAAACATTCGCAAATGCATTTCAAAATGGGAATTTTATTAACGTCCCGGTCCCTGCAACGGCCGGGGCCGCGTTAGAATATGTAAAAACGAAAAGAATTCTTCATTTTCGGGAACATGAAACTTCGCGTGTGCACATTCTCTCGGGTTAAAGGTTAGGTTGTAAAGTTCCTATAGTCTCAAAATTTCTATACTCATTGCTACTTAACCTCAGATCTTCACAGAAATATCATAATTTCCTCGTGTGGATTAAACATTATCCACCAAAACAAAAAATATACGACAAATACATTTCCTTTGCTCCATCCCTAGGCATAGACAATAAATTGAAAATCATTACTCCCATTCAATTGCCCCTTAACCAAGTATCGATTAACTGTCATTTAGTGGGCGCCATTTTCCGATTTTTCTCCCCCTACAATTTTTCCTGTGTGAAAATATGATGAAAAAACAGTCTTCAGTGCTCTAGTTGTTTTCGTCAATTCGAGATGCTGGTGTTGTTTCCTTTGGAAGTACAAAATTACAGTGCATATCACGTCAATTCACTCTTCCTCAGACAATAATAAATAATAAATAAATAGTAGATAGGATTGACAACAGCTAATTATGTGGTGCTGATGATCAGAAGTGTCTTAACTCATTCCCTTTGATTTCATCTCGCTTCAACGATTTTAATTTCAGTATTTATACATCTACAATGATGTTTTGTTGTTTGAGAAGTTGTTTTGATGGACTAGGGTTTGCAGGGCATCAAACTACCCACAAAGAAGACAATCCCATCAATCTGGACACCTCTCATATGGGTAAAAATATTTGTTTACATTCTGTCAAGTTTTTCACTGAATGGCTCATAATTTTCTAATCGTTCAGGTGTTTGAAGCAGTTTTTATTTATTTTGACGTTTTTCCACAGGTCACGAAGTCGTGATTGTTATGAACGGCCTAAGAGCTTGTGGTCAGGGTTGTACCCTGACAAATGTACCTCTAGTACAAAGTAAAAGTTATTTTGAAGTTAAAATACGCCAGGACGGGGTTTGGGCTGTTGGTTTGGCAACGAGATCGACTGATTTAAATACATCGACTGGGGGCAATGACGCCGAAAGTTGGGCACTGAATTCTACAGGAATTATTCGACATAATAAAGAGGAAGTACACAAAGTCCAAACTCTGGCCCAGGAAGGAGATATTATTGTACATTCAATTCAATTACTTTCACTGATTATAATAGAGAAAGAATTGCAAGTTTAATGCTATTTTGTCATTTCAGGGAATCGCCTTCGATCATATAGAGCTGAATTTTTATGTTAATGGAAAACCCCTGGAGGCACCTGTTATGGGGATTAAGGGAACGGTATATCCTGCTTTATATGGTAAATAATAATATACAATGAATAATCAAGACAAATGGTTCACACAATTAGTGATGGGTATTGATTTCGTCGTTTTTCTGTTAGATTGAGTAAATTACTTACCAGTCTTTTTTTTGTACCCTTCAGTACACAAGATGGCTAAATAGAAAGAATAATAAGAATCCCGATTTTTTAAAAAAGAAAAACGAACTAGTCCAAATGAAAACTACTGGTTTTTAGCGATTTTTTTTCTACAGATATAGACCGAATCATTATTTAAAAAGTTATTATGTTTTAGCGCATTTTCAATTCCTCCATTCTTGATTTGATCATCCGATTCATGTTTGTTTTTGCTGTATCTTCTGTCAATTCGGCAGTATCATTTTTTCTTCACGTAACAAAGCCAATGGACTTAGAGCCCACGAGCACTTCACTACGAATAGGGATATAAATGAGAGAATGACAGCTATTGAGAGGAGAAAGATTTGAAAAATCATGATTAAATCACAGCTTGTAGTGAAAACTATTCAAAAAATTAAGAAATCTTCTCAGACCAATTACCAGTCGAAAAAAATGTCATCTGTAAATATTCACATCTATCATGTGCTCTCAAAAAATCTACATGAAAGTTATATCAATCCAAATTAATTGAAATAATGAATAATTTCAAACTGATTTCAGTGGATGACGGAGCCATTCTCGATCTAATACCTCAAGAATTCGCTCACATACCCCCAGCTGGCTTTGAGAAAATCATGGTCGAGCAATCTCTACTTTAACATTATTTATCTCTTATTTTCCATGATATTTAATTTGCAATTGATCAATTACTTATTTAATTGTGTTTCATCTCAATTCCCCACGAACTACGTGGATTCAATTTCCATGAAACTTAAATGACTGTACAAACTCAAATATTAACAATAAGAGAAGGAGAGTGTAAAATGTAATGTCCAAATTGTCACAAATAAAGGAAATTATTTAATGCACACATTTAAATTATTGATACCTGACAATTTGATAAAAAATTGACAAATTCACAATGTTTTCAAATTTTATTAAAACCCTTACACAAGTGATGGCATTTATAATGAATTAAACCCGATGTGCAAAGTGTATAATACAATCATTACGTGTTTTACGGGTTGTCTTTCTTCTAATCAATAGAATTCGATCTATCGTCTAAACGTGTATACACAATTTATACGTGATTTGCAGTGATATAATGCAGTACAACTTTAGTTAGTAATCTTTTCTTTTAATTACGAGTGTCTATTCATTATATACACGGGCTTAAGCGAAGAATTTATAATGGCGTTTTAGGCCCATGATTTTACAATTATTATGCAAGAATCTAACGCCACGGTTTCCCTTATTATTCTCCTCATCTCCACAGATTCATCATCTGTTTTCGTTGACAATTTTTCATTACTCACATATTAATTTTTCTTTTATAAAAACTTCTATTACACATTACAGCTTAAAATTCTTGCATTCTTCTTTTGTATTATTTCTGTTATCGTCTGCATGAAAAATATGCGAACAATTACATCGTGTTCACGTTGTTTCTTCTCAATGAATTAATATAATTACTCAAATAATCAACAATTCTTAATTGTATACATTAAGCCTCATTTCAACATTTGTATTTTTTTCATTTTTCACTTTTTGAAACATTTAAAAGATTTTTAGTGATGGTACACCTCATTTTTTTTGTGATTGACGATTCAAAAAATTATTTTTATAATTATTCAAGTGATTATGAGCGTTTGAATAGATCTTCATTATAAAATTCATGATTTATTGTATGGCATCGATATATCGCAATTATTTGTGTTGCTTCCGGCATTTTCAACAAATGCTCAACGTAAAGCTAATGTTAAAACCATGATAAACAATGATTTTTTTTTCTTTGGTCTTTAAGATTATTATTATGACATTAATCACCCACACCCCACATCCTTAAAATGATATTATCAATATTATTGTTCGATTGGCATTGAGATATTTATTTTCTATGGTAGAAAAAACTTAATTTGTGTTGTCGATTAATTTAATAATTTTTTTTACGCAAGAAATTAATTGGTCATATCATTTGTTAAAAGAAAATTACCATGACTTTTAAATATAACGGATTTATGAATTTTAATTCCTGTTCTCTACATTTTTCAGAATATTCGCGAGAAAAAAAAAGTTGATTATCTAAGAAAAATGCACACATAGGATTGTATTTAATTATTAATCATTGCCATGTCGAAAATGATTAGCTTTTCAATAATCCATGATATTTTAAACTCATGAAGGTTATCTATTATCAATCTAATTATCTCGATAAACGGTAGTTCTAGAGAAATTCGCAGTGATTTTTTGTCAACAGCGAAAAATGATTTTGATATTTTCTTCTGAACTCCCTTACTTCGGATAATAAGATAATTAAAGAAGATTATGACTTCCTATGTAATATTACTTGAGTAAAAAATTGAAATATTCAAGTATAAAAGTGGGAGAAACAAAATTAGAGACGAAGTACACTCGCATGATTATTGGTAACGCTAGAAACACTATTTTGGCAATCTTCAGCAGATTGATAATTTGTTTAAAAAAATTTTCAACAATTTTTCACCATTAATTCTAGTTTATTATATTACTTGTGGATTTAATTCATTCAGATGACTTGGTGGCATGAGATTATAATTGTGGTAACCCATTGAGTCTTATTGCACATAACATGTCCATTCTCTTATAGAACTATATAAATGTATATATATATTTGTTTTTCTTCATTTAAACTCTACAAACGGTAATTAACTCTGAATTTAATCAAAGGACTTTCACTTTTATTTGATTTGCAATGAAGCATGTTATTGTTCGTTAACGTTTTCTCTTCATTAGAATGGGTGGGTGATACACTATAATTATGGCTAATCCCTAAGCGTAATTTCACCTATATTCGCACTACCTAAAGCTGAAATAAAATTAACGCACAACACATCCGAGTGTTTTTTTTATTTTATCGTCAATTCAAATTATTTTAAATTATTCATTTGCAAAAAGGACGTTTTAAATTACTATCACCGTTATATTTTATTCATTTCGATGTAAGACTTCTGCAATGAAGTGTCAAAACGTATTGCAAAAAATGTTAAAATCCCCTCACATTATTATCCATTCGCTGTTTCATCACTTCACTGCAGACTTCGTCTCTTATTTCATTTAATTCCATCAATGTTTTTTAACGTATACGTTTGTTTGAATAATTATCCGAGATTTTGGCTTTACGATAAAATAATTGTCGCTGAATAAAAAAATCAAGCCTTTATCGAATGAAATATGAGTTGGCCACTTAAACGACTATATTTTCATCTAATCAGTATGACCTTGCAAAGTACTCGAAAAATAAATGCACCTTGAGTATTTCAAAGAACTCTTAATTCCTGGTTCGATAAAAAACATCATAAAAAACCACATGCACAATGCAAGGTTTTACACTTTCAATGCGAATCTCATCATGTACTTTTTTTTGCCTTTTTAAACGGTTTATATTCCAGGTACTTCCTGTCCAGGAATTCATGTTGAATACTAATATATCAGATCCTTCGGAAATCTCAGTATCATGCATAACTATCATGCTTTCTTCTCGGAAAAAGAAATTTCAATTTTAGATTAAAATCCTCATCATATAACAGAGAAAAAAAATTATTATAAAAAAAATACAATCCACTTTGGAGTTTTTTCAATGAAAAAAATTCATATAATCGTTACCATCATTTAATTTCTGCTAATACCCTTGGCAGTTATCGATAAATTTTTATTTTAATTTAACACTAAACGCAAAAAATCTTAATTCAAAATGATATGAGATATATAAAAATGTGTATAGCTCATATTAATTTCAATTTCAATGCAGTAGAAAAAAACGATATGTCGCTAGTTCAAATATGTTGTGTTGTTGTGTTCGTTGGACAACATCATTCAATTTTCATAAAATTTCAATTATTTCTTTTCCTTCTCTACATTTTGTGCTTTAAACTCGACATTGGACCTGCCCTCAACAAGCTCGACATTCTTATAATAACTTATAATAATTATCCTTATTAAAATGAATCACCGGACATTGATGAATTGATTAAAATCAAAGATATGTAACAAAGTATGCGTATAAGGAAGATCAAATATTGATAATTAATGTTCATAATCAGTTTTAGTAGCGAAGTGATAGAAATAAAGCGATTGCTATCACTTCTCTACAGATTTCACGTCTACTTCCAATGAGTTTTGCTCGAGTAATATCAGTAACTGATTGATAATTGAAAATCATTCTTCTCCAGTCGATTACTACAAATATTATTGACTGATATCACCCATTATTACCGAAAAAAAATCTCTTTGGTATTCAATAAAATGAATGAACGATGAAAAAAAATCTGAGCTGCGTGGGAAAATTCCCTGAGTTGCAAACCATTCACTCTCTCCTCATTCAAAAAATAAAACAAATAAAAACAATAGTTAAAAATGATTTATCAATCATTATCAGTCGTATCTTCGATAACCGAATCCCAGTTGAATTCAGTGGCACTTTGTCGTGATGGTAACTCACCGAGATGCTGAAAACGCTGCACGAATGAAGGATCTTTATCCCGCAGTCGACGAAATCTTTGCATCGCTAAATCCTTAGCAAATTCGTACAATTGTAAATCGAGTTTATTCAACTTTTTTACCTCGTCCAATTGTCGAGACGTGAGCGTTGCCATTGTAGCAGCACTTTGGGTTGCATTGTGCTGTTCAAATGCAACCGCAAAACGCATACCAAATGTTTCTTCGAACGAGTATTGACCCACCTTGAAACAATAAATTTTTTTTTATTACCAGAAGTTCCTCTTAAAGAGTTTGATAAGAAATCATTGTTAATCAAATTCATTGAGCGAAAAGGGTCTGCGTAATTGTTTTTCTGTGCATTGTGCGGAAAATTTAGAGATAAAAGAGGTGCGTTATATCTCAAGAATTCAGTGCACTGAGAGCTTTTGTAGCTTCCATTATAATCATATGAACAATTGTCTTTCCTGTTGATTGACAGTTAGTAGATCAAATAAATATAAGCCCGATGTCCAAAAAGAAGTTGCAACGGCGTTTAACCACTTGTTTGTTTAATTCATTTTTAACTTTTATTAATTCTATTCTGCAAGTTAGTCTTGAAGGTATTGCATCCTAATTGCAATAATTACTTTACGTATCACGAAACTCTCTCAATCCTTCACTACTCGACAAAAAAATTCTATTTTAATTATCATTACGGTACGATGATGTAGATGACATCATCATCCACTTTATCACAACTCATGCTTTGTAAATCTTCAACGAAATGAATATGCATACATCTGTTTGTTGTAATTTATGCTTTAAAAACATCTAAGGTTGAACCAAGTAATTAGTCTTGGATGAATTCACTTCTTAGAGGCAGTTGTGTACAATAATATTTGTGGATAGTATATTAATAAAATATAAATAATAATACAGAACTCTCAGGAAATCGGAAAAAAAACATTGCCGCAGTTTAATTGTGCAATTTGACAATTGCCATTTTTAGAATCGAGATAATCTTCATTAACTGTAAAATATATTGCAATATTCTTAAGTCTGAAGTTATGAAAGTGGAATGTATTCAGAATGTAAATCAATGACTAATTATAATTTCAATTCAAAGAATTCGATTCATTTACATTCTGATTTACATTTGCATTTCCCGAAATATAATATTGGCAAAACAAATCCTTAAAAATCCGCTTAATCAACAATGTTGGATTGAAATAACAACTTATGTCAACTATTACTCGAAATATTTATTCAAATGAGGACTAAAATAATTACTGTTATTTTGGGCTTACAAATATCCAATGTTGTCATTCCACGCACAAACACAGCATAAATGTGACGTCACAGTAGTTGGCAACGCATGCAATATATATAGATATAATGGACTCCCGGAGTAGGGGTTCTCAGCGCGCAGATATATTGAGGGGTGGAATCGGAAAATCGCGTCTACCTTCTAAAATATAAGGAATGGATGAAAATGTTTTAGATAAACTTTGTTTCATATTTAAGAATAAAAATTATGGAGAAAAAAAATATTTTCATCCATTGGATTAGAAGGTACCCTTCCTATTTCATAGTAATTTTTTGAATTGAATTATGTTGTTATGAAAATATAATAACTCAGATTTTTTTAAATCACTTAAAATTACTCGCCCGTTAATCACACAACCAAAACAAACATTTCTACAGAAAAAGCGTTTTGGATTTATAAAACACATATGTTAGACCTAATTTGCCTGGACTATCTTGTTGCTATCGAGTGTTCCGATCATTCTGATGGGTACATTTTGTAAGGGTCGGCACTTGGGCTTGAAGTCGATAATTAGTAAGGGTAGAAAGAAAGTAGAAGGAGAAAGGCCCAACGCGGGTGAATGGTTGATTGGAAGGACATAGCCTTCGGAGGTTGACATTGGCCTAAGTTAGGGATTCGAAGGTAAATCGGGGAAATCACCGAGTTCGAGGTCGGAGGTACTGGGGAAAGTACCGAGGAGTATTTTTATGAGGGATGGTGAAATAAAGCGATTTGTTGGGTTTCTGGAGATGGAAAAGAGTGGTGAAATGGAATGGGGGTTTTTAGAGTCGCCATTGCTAATAGATGGTAGAGTACTCTGTATGAACTAAGCAAATATTAAAAATAAGGGGTATACAACGCGAATATCTAACCAAAATGGCCTAGACCTCACGCAACTATTGAAATTAGCAAGATTAGTCGATACCAAAAGCTGTTTGATCTACAATCAGGAAATGTTCATTATCTCATTCGCCTTGAAAATGAAAAGATTTTATCTAATCTCTATTCCTGAGATTCATGAATAGTTTACGTTGTGCACTACCGAATGCACGTCTAGACTAAACATGAAACATGAAAAAAAAATCACAATAAAAATAACGAAAAAAAGAAAGGAGCATAGTTCAAATGATAATAAACAAACACCCAACAAAATACTTGAGCCATAAGTAGAATGGAACCTCGTGTACATGACGCCGACTCAAGCAAACAATGCTCTTTTGAAATTCATGCTTATGGCGCCCACATGGCCAACAAACCAACCGATAAATATTTACACAAGGACTTCTATTCTCGAGTGCGTTAGTTTTCATACAGGAAAAATGAGGGGGAGAGCTTATGCGGAGACATTGCCCTTCCTTTTTGTAGGGCTTTCAATTATTCATAAGTGATTGTTCATGCAAAATCCAAACGCAAGAGATGATTATTAACTTTTATGCGAGAATATGATGATACGTCGAGCAAATGAATAATTAATTAATTGATAAAACAATCGTACCAGGTAATTCAGTTGCTGAACTGAATACTAAATAAAAAAATGAGCAAAATTTTAAGTTGAAATTGGAGACCCTGATTTATTCCTCTATTAAAAATTAAGGAGAGACTATTACGAAACTTTAATATCACGGATTGTTCAGGTGAGATGCTCTCCATATATTTTTATACGATACGATACACACATAAAAAATAATAATTAGTGAGGGAAATGATATATTGCCCATTTGCCATTTAGTAGCTTAAAACCATAAAATCCAAAGAGGAGTTTTGTGTACCGAATTAGTGAGATAACAAAATTTTTATGCTCCTAAAATAAATTGAAGAGATGAAGAAAAAACCGTTATGAGACACTTTCTAAAGTTTTACTCTCAAATACGATTTTTTCTATTTTTCATATTAAGAATATTCGTCGATAATATAAAATAATTTCAAAGAGAAATGACCGGTCGTTCTACAAATTAATCGTTTACATTAATTCATCGACTTTGCGATTTTATCTTGTGTAGGTTGCAAATGGGTATGACAAAATCATTTGGTTCATGCTAATTATTCACTTTTGTATCCATGAAGGAGAGGAAAACCCCAGTCAGATCCTCATTTGAATAACCGGTTGAGAAATCATGCCAGTCGTTCTTTAAATTGCATAAAATATTAATTACTCACTTTTTGGTATTCAGTCAGCATAAAAAAGGGCATGAACTGCAGATTGCGTTTAGCACTCTCCAGCATTATATAATCGCGCTCTGCATTTGATAATGATGAATTGTAGCATCCAATTAATGATAAATCAGCTAGCATCCTCGTCTGCCTATTGCTGGCTAAATTTGTCGGACACGCCATGAACTGGAAGTCCAAAAATGTCAAATTAATATGTGAAATCGATTTTCATTGTGATCAGAAAGGGGAGAACTGTGTCTGGTGTGACACAATTTATTTAAAAATATCCTCACCTCCTCCAGAGTCACCCCCTGCCAATTAGGACCATTATAGCACGAGAGAATATTCCCTAGCGCCCCACCACACCAGTGTCTAGCACCTTTCCATGTAGCCCCTCTCTGTACATGTCGAAATTCTGATAAATAGCGTGCCACAGGATCACGTATTATCGTTATGTAAAAATAACGTCGTTTTATTGTATCACTCTCGATTTTATTCAATTCACTATCAACGCAATTTGTCAATTCTGTCCAATCAGCGTGTAATCCGCATTTCCAACCGGTTGAGTAACGTGAAAATAACCAATGTTCATCTCTATTGGGACGAAAACAGTAGCAACGTTTTTTACGACGCTGACATGAGCATGGACGCTGCAGATCCAAGTCACGTACTAGGTGTTTCCCAAATAGTGTTCCTCCTGGATTGCAATAACATTAAAATCATAAAAATATTTTTTTACAGGTCGTCACATTTTTTCATTCAGTAAGCGAATAATGGAGCTTGACAGCACCAATTTTCCATTTTCTCTCAAGGATATCCTAATTTTTTACTGTTTGCCCTGCATAATAGACTGTGAAATGTGCAATTATCAAATTAACACATTAGATTGAAGTAGAACAATTTCAATAAAAAGTCAAGGAGATTCACTGTTATTTAAATGATACTTTGTGAATAAAATTATGAATTAACCACTGGGTTATTTATGAACAAAAACGTAGAATTGTTCCAATTTTCGAGCATCTAATAATTTTTTCGCTGGAATATAAATAAAAGTAATTTTGTTTTCAGAATATAAAGGATAATTTTCTGTTTGTGGCCTCATCACTTTCTGGTAAAATTGTAAAAACGACAATATTTACGATGTCGAAAAAAAACTATATTTGCGGAAATTTAATTATGTAATTATGCATTGACGTTTTTTCCAACATAAAATATAATATTCCGTAACGAAGCCATTAGCCATTTCGAGAAATGTAATGAAAAAGTTGTTACAGGTAACTTCCTCTTTTGAATTGGACACGTAGAGAAAAATTTCAATGATAAAGAAAAGCGTGCCTACTTGTTGATCAAATACATCATCCCCAAAGACACCATCTCCAAAATCAATAGTTATTGAAAACATTATTCAATGTCAAGAAAATATTATCAACATACTTCATTAAAAGAATGCGGGCAACAATTATTCATCTATTTTACAGTAATTCTCACGATAAATTCTAAATCTTTTTGCTTAAATGCCCCCCCCCCCATAAATCGTCAATTAGCAACTCTTAAAATCTATTCCATTTGGTTACTAATAAAAATGAAAAAATAGCTATAACTCACCAGTTTTTTGTATATGAAGAAATACCATAACATCATTAGCATTGACATCAAACTGAAAAGTGTCATTATTGAATATATCCTCGTACCCGAGACTGCCTTGTACACTTTGTAGTTTAAACAGCGGATGTACATTAACAATAGAATTTTTCTCATTGTCAAGAGTACCAAGTGTCGTCAGGATGGTGTTTCCCTGGACGAGACCCTCAGCAATTCTCGTTGATTCTTTGACATCACGATTGGTCAATGCACATACATGATCGGGACAAAAATATCCAAAATAAATGATACCAGTGAGTGCCAGAAGTACGCAAATTCCCACAACACCGCGTAACCGTTTGCTACGGCCACGGGTTTCCATGTTTATCGTATTGTCACATAAATCATCGGCCAAAAGGACCCTTAGGTCACCAATACTCGTCGATCTCACCATTTCTCCCCATCTTTTGACGCCAATTCAAACTCAATGTTCTCCTGTGTGTCCCTCGATGAGTGGATTATTGAGACTTATTTTCTGATTTTGAGTTGTCTCGAAACCTATTGGAGATGCAACAGTCGTTATGACCTTTTTCACTTGCAGGATAAATCACTACTTGGCTTAGTTACCGCACCAAAACAACGCTCTACTCGTATTCGCCGCCATCTTTCAATCTCCAATTTTTTTTTCATCTCCTACTCCTTTCCATCTTTCTCCTGCGCGCGCAGATATTTTCTCCTACCTCCGCATTTTCCCGCCCCAATTCGACTTTATCAGCATTTTAGCTATGTTTTTGTTAATGAAGACGGACTCAATGACCCATAAAAAAAAACCATATGAAGATTCTCATTAATAATTTCTAATAATTAATGCAATGCATATGTTCAGTTATAATTATGAAAACCTCCAAATTAATAATGCCCTACCCCCTTTCCGCCGAAATTTACATTTCTTTCAGCTTCCTGGCAAATTTACGATGGAATGGCCGTGAAAAATAAGATAAATAAATATACAGTTTTTGGGTTTTGTCATTAGTTAATGACTCAGTAAGTTTCAAGATGATGCGAACATTTACCTGCCTTTTTTTTCTAACTTTTTAATGAATCACAAAACTGATCGTGATCGTACCACCATGAAGCCCCATGAGCTATTGAATAATAATAAAACGCAAAAACAGAAAAATAAAAAAAACATGAATATCGGCTGGAATCGTCTCGAATATCCTGAACTCTCAGAACATTACACATGACATTTGAACTGAAAAAATGGACATTTTTTTACTGTCACATGGTGATGTGAATATAGGAGCCTCTACATGCAGGAACTAGTTAATTTCTTGAATATTCAAGGGATCCTTAGTTTTAAGGGCCATATGACACGGAAAAACCCTGGAAATGTTGTAAATCAGGAAATAATTCGCCTGACTTTTAAAACTATTGACTGAAGAATAGGATTTCTTGTTCGATTTTTCAAAGTTTAAAAATTCAAGCTTTAATTAAGAAATGATCGTTTTACAAGATGAATAAGAAATTTAGTAAAAATTTTCAATTTAAAGAGAACTTTCTAAGTATTGCCGCACAAAAATTGCCCAACTAAGAAATTCATTCCTTGTTAATAAAAAATATCTCTTTTTTCGGCGCCAGACATGTTGGAAAGAATTCAAATCGAAATTTTTTATTCTTCATCTTCTTCATGACGACAATTCACAGGAAAATCACAATTTCTAAGAAAGAACAATTCCCGAAATTTTTTTCAATTGACCAAGCACTCGCGACTCCTAGAGGACTCTTTTCAAACCTTGCCTTAAAAATTATAACCTAAAATTCCTAAAGAAATGACAGAGGCTATCAAAACACAACTGTCAAGAATTTTATTGGGTTGATTATTCGTGGATTATATCCCAACTGCAGAAACTAAGGAGCACAGATAAAAATAATTTATACATAGTACGGTAAATATATACTGAAGTACAAAATACACCTTAGAAGTAAAATAGAGCACAACAAATTCGCCATTATCCTCCTACTACAAATGGAAATAATTTAATAACGGGTGATTTTAGCACATAATGTAAATAATTCATCTTTTGGCGGTCATTATTTTATATTGTCATAAGGACATTTATAAAAAAAACAGGGAAGGCTGTCCTTGTATTCACATTTCTCCCTAACACAAGATTGTTCCATTGTCAAAATTTTTGCACGATAGACCCAATTATTTAATTTTGTTTCATTGAATTTAATTATTCGTTGGTAGAATGAATTATATAGAATTTTATTGTATCCTGTGAGCAATGAAAAAGAACTTTAATTTAAAAATCATGAAATCATATCTATACTCTTATTACTATACTCTATACTATATTCTTATTTAACATTTTATTTTGTTTTCTACGATTTCGTTATTATCAATCAATTAATGTTACAAATTCTCAGCGTATAAATATCCATTGTAGTAGTTTATACTAATAATAATGAACTCGAATTCAGGAGAGGGGAGGAGGGTAAAATAGGCCCTCCATTTTTCTATATTTTATATTTTTTTCCTCATTTTTTATAAAAATGTAGGGGCAGAATAATTGATGCGTTGATGCGGGTTTCACCTCCATATTTAATTGCTTAATATGGAATTTACTAATTACTTAATTAGCACGGAGTATACTAAATTCAATCGATAAATACTTAAACAATGATAACCATCAGATTTATGATTAACGTTAAACACTATTTGCACGAAGCAGAAATTAATTATTTTTTATAGTCTCGCCGAGTCAATTCGGTATCATTGCAAAAACAAATTCATGAGAGGGAAGTCCATTTTATCCACTTTACTCCCAAAATTTTCGTTTTCTCAACGCGTTGCACATTTGGTGGATGCTTTTGAGGGTGAGGGCTAGTCATTCAAGTAGTAAAAATTGTTAAGGAATGTGTTTCTGCTTAAGGGGTCCATTTTACCCTCGTCTCCCCTAATTATTTAGTAGATTCACACCAGCTATTTACTCCCAACCCAGATTAGAATTTCCACACACTCAATCGAACGGGTTTACATTTTATAAGTATCGAGTATAGCGTGAATTAAGGGATAATCCAAATACCCTAGGACCAATGGTGCGGACGTGGTGGTATTAAAGACAAGGGATAACGTATAGAGATGAATGATTAGACAATTCCTCGATTGAATAGGATGAGTGATATGCGTCCAACCTGCAGATATTTAATCAAATAGATATTGAATAAATCCATCGCATCATCCAAGAGAAGCGATGATGAAACTAGCTTAAGGCTATCTTGCAGTTAAATAATTTTGAAAAATCTCGTCCTCGCACCTGGAAACTGTCAAAGACTTTTTAATTGTGTTAATTTGTTTTCTGAAGTTGGTTTTATGCATATTTTCATCACTCGCCTCTTGGTATTGTAGTCATTCTACCCTGGGACCCAACAAGTTAAATAAAAATACCCCTTAATCTACTGCTATTTCAGGTGGAGAGTAATTGATGTCATTGATTAAATGTAATGTCAAATAACATTAACTTTTACGCAATCTTTACTAAGATATGTAATTACTAATATAACTATTCCAGAATCATGTCCTCAACTGACATTTTGGAAGAGCGAGTAGCTGAACTCGAGAGGAAAGTTTATGGAACCGTCAACAATCCCTCGATAGACGATCCTCTCCCCGAGAATTCCGTCATCGACAATTTGTTAAATGCCAATACGATGATATCATCGGCGCTTTCTAGTCGAGAGAAAGCGAATAATCTCGTCAAACGTCTGTCAGAGCTGAATGAGCTTTTAAGCACATCCTTCGACGAAGACTTACAGACGGACGTCAAGTGGCAAATAATCGAGACAATGGAACCAGAAATCCGTCAGAATCTAGAACTTATAGCGAAAGCCACAGAATTACTTCCAGTTCTGGAAGTCGATGCTATAAAAAATGTACCTGAGTTGACACCAAAACTCGAACACTTGACTCTAGAGTATCTGAATGCTTACGAGGAATCCACTGCTGTCAACCAAACTATCAAAGAAGTTTTCTCCAAGTACAATGCAATCATCGATACGATTTCTAAAACACTTGTGGCTCTTGACAGTGCCATCACAGCAGCTGAACTCTCCGCAATTCCCAAGAAACAACTTGATTAATTTATTTTTATATAGATATATTTATTTTAATTCACTTGTGATATAAAAATACTTGGACATAATATGACTATTCAATATTTCATAGTTATCGATAATAACAGCATTTTCCTGGACAGTCACTCGTATTATTCATTCACAGTAAATAGAGTAAATGGAAGATATAATCTTACGTTATTTCAATCGCTGATTTTCGATTTGTTTCTAGACGTTACAGCTTGAAATAGTCGAAGTACTGAACTAATTGAGTGACTGCTCAGGTTGAAATTCTCGTCGAGATAAAATTCAATAACAGTGTATATGCTTTTGTTTACTGAATAATACCTATTATATACATACATTCCTAGTTTATTTTTATATATATATATTTCGGTGAATATGTAGATCAGGGGCCTCACTCCCGATTTTTTTTCATTTAGAGTTATAGTTTTTATTGAATATATACTACGTATATATTGTGTCAGATTCGTGCAGGAAAGTATACGTTTCATATGAATATTTTAAGTTTTTCTGAGATGGAAAACAATAAGTTCACGAGTTTTTATTATTTTATAGTCCATTTTTCTCGCTCACTTCATTCACCTGCACTGCGTGCGTTTTTCTGTATGCCCTTATTATCATAAGGCCTATGTATTATACCCGGGTGTTATAGGCCAGGATTATACCCGAGACCCCTAATCTACACATTTACCAAATTTTCTTTTATTTCTCTGGATGAGTCTTGTGATAGAGCATTATGAAACCCACTGCGTGAATTATGCAACCAATCATCGATTATAAAAATCGCTTTCTCCTTTCTAACTCTTATTGAACAGTTACTTTATACAATATTTACATTTCCACGAATGGGATAACCGACATCATCTCTTGTCTTTTGATCGGGAAGTCATTTTTTGTTCGACGGAATTGTAATGACAGGATTGAAAATTTATAAACATTTTAAACTCGTGTTTGGAGGGCTGGGATTGAGTGACGCAGCCAGGATATAATAGGTGTTAAACTTGAGTAAATTGCTGGATATCCTCTTGAGCATCTGCTGTGGTGACTCAATAAACCCTGAATCTCCCATCTTTCAGTTTCAGTTGCACACATCAATGGTGCACCTTCGTCATTCTAAAAAAGACAATTATTTCGTTATTTTATTGTTAATTTATAATTTTCCATTACCGATTAATGGCTTTTAACAATATTAGTAATTGAATCTCATCAATTTATTGTTGATTAAAAAATTAAGTTTTTTGTAACGTAAAATTATTGTTCGAGAGCTTGCGTTAAAATTTTTATCGTGAATAGTTAAGAAAATTAGCTACAAAATGAACACTTTCCGTTTGTGGTTGCCCTTTTGGAACTTGACGTAACATGAGTCACGTATTTTTTAGAGCTTGTTAGCGTACAAAACCAAAAGAGGAGAGGAACTATCCGAAAAAACCGAAGACAAGAGGAATATTATGTGATCACGGATCATTTAGTTACGGATTGCATCGATAATACGTTTATTTATTCCTGAGCGAAGGCCTACAAAAATACTTACATAACAAGTTCCTTTATCTGCTCCAGTGAACCCGGCGCAGATATAATTTTCCTTAATAAATCCAGCGTAATGACTAGTAGCATTACACTCGTTAGTATCATATGTAGGAATTGGCAAAAAATTGAGCTTCAAATTGACATCTCCAATCATGGGGAATCCCCATCCAGCAGTGACACAAAGAGCTCTAGGTTGAAACTGTTGGCTGGGTAAACAAACAGCACTGACATTTATCGAGAATACCAGAGGCTCTGATAGTTCGATGAGAGCAAAGTCATTCTCATACAAAAACTGATTATATTTTACTTCAGGATAAGGAACGATATTTTTGACTCGAGTTGATTGCTGCAGATCTCTTCCAGTATTCAATTCCCAGTTTGGACTTTGTCTATGTTTATAAATGCATGAGTAACTTGCTAGAGCGTGCATTGGCCCCAGAACACTAGCAGTGCATGACGCACCACTTTTGACTTCTCTCAGAAGAGCTACACTAGACCATTGTCCCTCTCCAGCTGGAGTTCCTCCGACTAATCTTGCAGTGGGGCCTTCACTCTGCTGAGACCCACAAGTGAATTCCTGGCAAGACACCTTGACGATCTCCCCAGACCCACAGCTGTCCCTTTTAACAAGATTAGTGATGAGATTAGAATCAGCTGTCGATGTCTTCAGTGCCAATACTGGACCCTCAGTATAGACAGCAGTCACCGTAGCATCAGAACCCGCGAATCCCAGTGACTTGCAATATTCATCACTGTGAGATTTACTCCAATCATCCGAGCAAACCGTCAGTCTCTCATTTCCCATGGTGATCTTGAGAGTTGTTGGCTGCTCTCTATCCTCTGACTGAGCTTTATCCAGAGTTAGATTACCAGCGAGACAGTCCCATTCATCAGAACGATCAGGACAATGTTCGATGCCGTCGCAGAGTTGATCGGAATTAATGCAACCCCCAGTTCGACATTTAAATTGATCCACTGTGCAATCGCAAAGCTTCTCATCTTCTCCATTTGCACAATCAGAGCCCCCATTGCATCTCAATGTCTGGGGTATGCACCATTTTTCAGTTGGACAGAGGTATTCATTATTCTCACAGCTCTCTGAGCAGTAGTATTCGTCCTTATGGTCGTCACAGTCTGGCCTGCCGTTACATCTCCAGAGGTCGGGAATGCATCTGCCATTTGGGCACTGGAACTCGTCAAAATGACAGGTCCAATCGTTGCATTTGTTCTCATCACTTCCGTCATCGCAGTCCACAATTCCATTGCAAACCAGGTGACGCTTGAGACATTGTCCACTGGCGCATTGGAAATTACCGGGACAACCATCTCTCTGACAATTAATTTCATCAGAACCATCGGAACAATCATTCTCTGAATCGCATTTTGAGGAGAGATCTACGCAATAGGCGCCATCGCGAGAGGTTCCGTTCAGGCATTGAAACTGTCCTGCATTGCATTTTGAAAACAATACAGTCGGTGATGGACCTAAAGGTGATACTTCGATTTTAGGATTGTCTGTTGTTGTTAGCACTGGTATTCTCTTGGATGGATTAATCACGAAAGGATTCATACTGTCGTCTTCTACTTCTTCGTAGACTGGAATGATCTCCGGAGTTGTGCGAGAGGTTGGGGTAACAGGCATCTCCATTTTAGGAGATTCTATAGGCGATTGTAGCATTGAGGCATTCTTTTTTGAATTGTCATTGTCAGAAGTGATTTCGATGATTTTCAATTTTGATACCGACGGGGTCTCTTCTGTTGTGCTGACTGTATCGGTTTCTGGCTGTTGTTGTTCTGGTAATTCTGGTACTATAGTTGTTCCTACGAATTCATCACCCGCTTCGAGGGGAATAACTCGTAGTAGGTGCTCTGGAATCTCCTCCATGAGTGCCTGTTCCGTCGTGGTCGTGAAGAAACGACTGCGATCGAAAGTGACTGGCTGAGGGTCATCAACAATCACTTCTGAAACTGGTTTGATGTCTACTGTTGGTTGTGTAACTGTTTCGGTAGTGGTTTTATTGTCCTCATCATTATGCATCTCATCGGCAATGGGTTGTGTTGAATCACTTGCGGTCATTACAATTGTCTCCGTCGTACTCTTGACATCACTGGAATCTGTTGTTATTTGTTCAGAAATTTCTTCAGTAATCGTTGGTGTCGTTGATTTGTCATTGGAAATCACTGCCATCTGCTCGGTTGTGCTCATAATGTCATTAGCCTCTGTTGTCTGAAGTTCTTCTGGCAAAATAGGCACTTGAGCTGTGGTTTTTGTTTCTAGAGTAGATGCTTGAGTAGTTGTGACTAGTAAACCGACATCAGCATCAGCCACGATCGAGACTGTTGAGCCGATTTTCTCACCTGTTTCTGTTGTCGAAACGTCCTGTTGTATTTCGATCGGCAGAATCGGAACTTCTGTTGTAAATTTGTTCGTTTCATCGTTCGTTTGCTTATCAATAATCATTGGCATTATTTCAGAGTCATTTTTAGCCGTTGTGTTTTCGATCTCCGCCTCTAGCGTATGTTGAATCACTTTTGTGTCTACAATCTGCTCGTTAGTAGTGCCTGTTTTCAATTTTCGTTTAAAATCCTTAGGTATGGTATCGTCATTTATATCATTGTATTGATCTTCAACTGCATTATCGTCGAATTTATTGGCAAGTTCATGTGATTTTTCGGTGGTCGTTGTATCTAATGTTGCATTCTCCGGTGAACTGACCTTTGATAATTCAGGCAAATCAGCACTTTCGGTAGTAGTGGAAGTAGCTTCAATGTCGCCATTTATTTTAATACTCAGGTCGTTCACCTGACTGACATTCGTATCATTAGTGTCACCAGTTTGTCGTGCTCCAAGGTCCTCAAAGCTCAATGATGTCTCAGTGTTGTTGTCTACGGTATGCGTGTCATTTACTACTGTCGGCATTATCGTGACTCCGTCCATAATAGTTACGTCTTCCTCCCGCGTTGTTCCAGTCTGTTGAACAACGTGAGACTGTCCTACCTCGTTCGTCAAGTCCGTGAACTCGCTTTCATTTCTATGATTCTCGTGATGAATTATCACATCCTCAACGACTGCTGGCTCGAATGGATTCGGAAGATCCTGTTCGTCCTTGTCCAATCGCGGTGCTTTCTTGGGCATTTCCTTTTCACGGACTACATCCGGCAAGAAGGGTGACATGTCTTCTTGATGTTTTTCGTCAGTTGCTGGAGTTTTTTCCGTTGGTTTTTCTGGGAAACTCTGGGGAAGGATTATTGGATGGAGTGGATGAGTCGTTGAGAATTCAATTGTTTCTTCTGAATGAGAGGGTGGACCTGTTCCGTTACTTTGCATCGCATCTGCATCTTTCTTTGGAGTTTCGTGCGTCACGTGTTCCGGGGTCAATTCTGGAATGATCTCGTGAATGTTTTGAATCTCTTTGTGTATTCCGGTTGACGTAGTGGATTCTGTCGATGTTGTAGTATCGAATGCTTCATTGAGCGGTTCAATATTTTTTGATATATTTTCTGCTAATTGAGGGAAAATGTTTCGATTGGTTTCAAAGGGGGAATCAGTGGTTATTCCTGCAAAATTGAGAACAACAGCTGCTGGAGTATTTCTTGGGGATGATGGATTCCCCAATGGTAGTGAACTAGTCGGGGACACTTCCTCAAGTTCGGCTTCTATGGATGTTCGACCACCCACTCGAGAATGTAGAATTACTTCATTAGGGGGATAATGAGAGTCTAAGAGAATTGGGTCAGGTGTTGTTGTTGGGATCCTTCCCGCTGGGTTTTCAAATATCGGAGTGGTAAGTATATTCATCGTTTTTGGAATGTCCGTTGCAATGTCTTCTTCAAGGGGGATTACTCCTAGAGGCTCCTCGAAAATCGTGGACTCCGATGCGTGCTCAAGAGAAGAGTGAAACTCGGATGAGGGTTCTGGAAGAGATTCAGGCAGTAATATAGATTCTGAAGAAGATTCAAGTGATGATGTAGGTTCTGGGGAAGATTCAGGCAGTGATGTAGGTTCTGGAGAAGATTCAGGCAGTGATGTAGGTTCTGAAAAAGATTCGGGCAATGATGTAGGTTCTGTAGAAGAATCAGGCGGTAGTGTAGGTTTTGTAGAAGAAACAGGTGGGGATGTAGGTTCTGGGGAGTAATTGGACATGACTGCAGGTTCAGGAGAGAAATCAGGCAATGGTGCGGGTTCTGTAGAAGAATCCGGCTCTGAATCGAATTCTACAGAAGAAGCAGGCTTTGGTACAGGCTCGGCAGAGGGTTCAGCATTTGATGTTGGTTCAGTCGTAGGTTCTGGCTCTGATTTTGGTTCTGTGGTGGGCTCGCTTGCCAAAATTGGTATACTTGTCGGCTCGCTAGATGGTTCACTTGTAGGTTTAGTAGTTGGTTCACTAGAAGGAACTGGTTCACTGGTAACTTCTGGTTCAAAGATTAGCTCACTTCCGGATGTCGATTCGCTTATTGGTTCTGCCGTTGGTTCACTAACGGAGACGGGTTCACTTGCATGCTCTGTCACGGACGCTGGTTCTGCAGATGATTCGGTTACAAGAGTTGCTTCAGTCAGTACCTCAGGAGATGGTTCAACAACTGTAACAGATTCAGGGACTGGTTCTGGAGTTGATTCATCAGGAGAAATCGGTTCATAGACTGGTTTCGCAGCTGATTCGTTGAGAGAAATTGGCTCACTGGTCGGTTCCGCTACAACCTTTGATTCGGGAAGTGGTTCAGCCTCAACAACTGGTTCACTTGTAGGTTGCACTTCTGGATTCGGTTCTGCTGAAGGTTCACTCACAGGTTCTGGCTGTGAGTCTGGATCAGAAGCTGGACTTTTATCCTCAATTGGTTCACTAATCGGTTCTGTCGATATCTCAGTATCAAAGATTGAGGGTAGAGGATTAGAAGAGGACTCTGCGGAAAGATTAGGCTCTGCTGTTGCCTCAGGTTCAGAAGTAGATTCAGCTGATGGTTGTGGTTCAGATTCAGGCTCGGGACTGGGCTCTGGAGATGCTTCGGTTGGAAAAGCCTCAGTACTGACATTATGTGTAGGAACTGCTTCTGGAGACGATAGTGGTTCCCCAACAGGTTCAACAGTTGCATGAATCTCATGATGATCATGATCATCATGATCATGCATCCAGTGATCATGATCATGATTATGCCCTCGAGATTCGAAAAATGATGCAGCATCGCTACTTCGTCCCTGACCACTATCGTCAATTGTTGTGGTTTTCGGCTGTTCATTATCCATTCCAACATCACTCAAATCATTCTCATCAATACAATTGTTTCCAGTAGCATCAAGAATACTTCCGGGTGGACAGGCACACATAAATACACTATTCATGTAATCAAACTTGCAACCGTTACTACAATTCATATTTTTGTATTGACACTCATCAAGCAATGACTCTATCTCTACTCTATGAAGATGGTATTTTCCAATCATATTTCCATTCTCTTGCAGGGTTTTTTCAACACTCTCTTGCATCATTTCCGGTGTAGAGGCTGGCGGATAACTGATCCTGAACCTCACCTCACCCTCATCCGAAATATTGTATACTTTGATAACAGAAGTGGAAGAAAAGAAATTAGCACGAATGGTATTTTCAATTTCAGCGGAAATATCCCTGTAAACTCTAGATTTTGGATCCATAAGTTGATCGTTCCACTCAAGGTTATCCAACCAGATAATTCCATTCAACGCCTGAGGTACTGTTTTGAAAATAGTCTCATCGGTCGTTGGCCATGGTGTGAAACTAGACGTTTCCGGTGGTGGACTTGACGGTGGATTCTTAATGAATTCTTTACTTCCGGCGGCTTTGACACCATCGTAAGTCTGTTGGGAGTTGTCCAGTGGTTGAGTTGCCTCTTGCGTTAGGATGACACCAGCTGAAATTAATATTTCAATGTTTTAATCAACTGTTAACACAATTTAAGATTTGTGTTAATGAGAAATTCAATATTACTAGCAGCTAATATCGCAATTATGAGTGCAACCGCTACAACGCTTAAACCAAAACCCCAACAGGCTAGTCTCCTCCAGTACGAACTCTTTGACCTCTTATCCTTGGTGACGTACAACTTTTCACCTCTGAAACACAAATTGACGAGCATTAGACATTTTCACATGAATTAATCATCGATTTCAAAGCAATTTCATACAGCTTCCAGCTAAGTCTTCAAGTTGATAGTTTGTGAGTAATTAGAAAGCTTTCCCAGGGTTACATTGTGCTTTTTTCAATGTCTTTACGACTATTCGATAACGTATTCTAAATATTCGTTGGTTCCATGGTGATTACCGTTATCTAGGTTTATTTCCTTGTTTTCCATGGGAATTCCCATAAATACCTGACGTATTTCGAAAGCCGGGAACGGGGGGTGGGGAGGGAGTTAGTTTGCTATCTGATTTTTTCCAAGGGGCTGCCAAAACTCCTCCAAAGCCAATTCCTAGTTGATGATTCGAGGGTTTTTGGGTTGTTTATTGATTTTGGTTGGTTTGCGTTGGCGTATTGGTACCTTAGGGCATTCAGCCAATGGGAATAGTCGACGAGTCCAGCGGCGGGATCTCTCAGGCTGAGTCCCTCGCGGCCAACACCCGGTCCCAAATCGAAACGTACACCAGCCACAGTCGTTTCGACATCTGCACTTGGGCTGCTGCTAATTGTTTAGGATTTTGATAATGAGATTTCTGTTATCAATCTTCCTCTCAATCAATGATTCTAGTGACTCTGATGCTATCACTTGAAGCGGATATCGTCCGAACAGCTGTTTTGTTCAAAATATCTTTCACTATTTTTTTTGGCTTGTGGAGCGTGGGAAATTTACGTGATTGGTTACGACTCGATGGGACGTAAACCAGAAAATTGATTGACTCATTGGGAAATTGAAGTATTTTGCAACACTAGAAAACGACATCCAGTCAATTGTTGGATTTTATTTGTCATGAAATTCTGTGAGCGTAAATTCAGCGGATCGACGTTCATTTGGAATTGGCATTTGTTCTTTGATTAATGGAGATCGGTTAATGTGACAGGATGTTAGAATGAAATTTGAAAGAAAGAAAAGGAGAGCGTAGACAATTGCGTGAGAGAAAATCGGCGCTTCTCGGATGTCTTATCCTTCGGGTGTCAGGGGGATCGTATCACTTTGGATGAAAAATGACACCATCAACTTTGAAACACGGACATTTTTTCTTCACCTCTTTTTTTGAGATTCGAAAGCAGATATGAGAGTTGATGAATGGGTTACGAGTTACTTTATTGTGGGAATCGGTGGAAAGTGAAGAGGAAAAATGAGAATATTTATATTGTAGAGCATTGGAGAGTTGATAAGTACCTGATGTACTTCCGATGCTCATTGACTGGTACAAAATACTCCTCGTATGGATCATTTGGTAAATCACACGCTTCCTGCCCCTTTTGGTGATTGTTTCCGGTTGCGTAGGGCCTCATTGACACAAGCTCGAGATTCACGGCCTCAATTTGCTCCTTTTTACCATCTGCAATATGGAATTAAGTGAGATCAAGGCCATGGAGTTGCCAGGTGAAATTCGACACTTCCTGACCCTCATATTCTCGTTGTGTGGGTAAATTGGAACGTTATGAATGCAGTGCCATACAGGTGACTTTTCGCATGCGTTTTAAAACTGGTTTTCAACTCAATCACGCTCATTATTTATACACGAATTCATTTTATTTTTCCGAATTCCTATTTGTAATTTATTTTTTTTTAATGCAAATCACCCGGCAGACTACCGGTTCAGGCGTCGGATCCTGTTTCATCTGTGTTTTTCCGCTAACAACATGAGTTGTTTTGATCAAAATGTCTATCGGTATTTCAATTCATGTTTGTTATTCATCGGAACTTCACTCTATCGATAACAAAATCATAGCAGCCATGGAAACAAAGACTATTAAAATTACTTTGCCTATTTTCCTGATAAACTCTCGGTAGGAAAGGAAAAATGAGTATTTATGAAACAGCTGTTCAATTTTCAAGGAATCTTTTTCCTTTATTTGGATGGAATTTTATTCATCTCAAATGTAATTAGTACCTGTGTACTGAATTTATTTCAATTAGATGTTTACAGTGAAATCGTCTTAATTGGAATCAATTTATTATGACAAATTTTTCAGTCTTTTTAATTGCCAAATAACACGTTTTTGTTTTAAAAAATAATATGAAGAATAAATGGGAGAAAATCTAAACGAACAAATAAAAATTCGCTGAGACGACTTCAGTCGGTCCGCTTGTGAGTGGGTGGAAGTCGTTTTTAACGTTTATGGTTTGAACTAATAACTTCTCAAGCGAGTCTCATTCCTTCATTCATTAGAAATGAAGAACGCCAAGTTTTATTCGAACAGAAGAGTGCTTAGACGATTTCCATTAAAATTCAGTCAGTCTACGCCCATATTGAAATGTATTTTCTGTGATGAAAACGCGTAATTCTATAATTTTTCCATAAATAATTGACATTAATTGCTTTCACAAGGAAAGCACTGATAGGGGCGTGACGTATTGTGGTTACATAGTATTAAATGTGACGGCTTAGAATGAAATTACCTCGTATGTAGCTAATATTCGTTCATGATTTTAAGACCTGATATTCAGGTCAGTCTAGTAAACTGAAATCAAATGACTCGTGTAGAACAGGATTCATAATTACAGAATGAAAAATTCTACAGAAATTTTCGAAGAAATTGCAGCCAACTATTGCTTTCTTTTGCAATCATAAAAATTCTTCAGAGTGTAGGGAACAATCTATATGTATAACAATTCGTTTTGCGATATTGGGGAAAAAATATCTATTACACTGTTACGATTTTTTCATTCTGTATACAATTCCACTGAAAGTTAATTGAAAATTCAGAATTTCGTGGGAAAATGAAACAGAACCGTGAATTTTGGTAAAAACAATGTCAGAATTTTGAGGACGAATGATGAAATGAAATTCCAAATTTTTATAAAAATCCACTGGAATTTGATTGTAAATATTGATATTAAATTTGAAATATAACTAAATTGAAGAATTTTGTCTTATTGCCCCTTAAAAATGTGTAATTTTTTCACACTGAGAAAAATATTGAATAATTCATTAAAATAATGCAAATTCATTAACAATTAACAAAAAAATTCACATATTTCAATATAACTGTTACTATATAGAGGAGAATTGTGTTTTTTAGGGATGTAATAAATTGAGGACTCACCATTGGCTTGTACGCTGGTAACACTATTATTCAGAAAACTGGCATCATCGTTGTTACCATTGGCATGTACTCCATTGACCTTAGCTGGATTTTGACTCTTCTCCGTATCCCCAGGCACTTCGATTCTTGTTTCAGTCTTGTATTGAGCATCACCATCTTTCCTAGTTGGCTCTACATAGTGCTGGGACACGAAGGAATTCCCATTGGCAACTTGTGAGGAAGTGTTATTGTCTGGTGACTTGCTACTCTGATCTTCCCGATTACTCTCCGTGCAGCTGTTTTCGTGAGATTCTTCCTCACTGATGAATGCAGGGTTGTCTGTTCCTCCAGAGTCCGACATTTTGTGTAAGTCCCTGATAACGAATACAAATGATAATATTAATTTAGTCTATTCAACCGTTTCTAATTATCACAAAATCCAAACTTATTAACCATTTACGATTGTCCATGCGATTTTAAATACCATTCAAATGAGTAAAATAGATCGAGAACAATTATTTAATTCTACACCGAGAGAAATTTTCAAGAAACCCCAACATTTTAGGTGAATTTCTCTGGAAATATAAGAGAAAAATTTGAAACGTTCGGTGAATTTTCGGGCCTGTTTATCTGGAAACTGTAAAATCTAATAGGGTTCTCACAAATCGTTATGTTCATGCATTTTTACTGGACTTTTCTATTTTTGTATCTTTATCGGTGTTTCGGGGCCTCCCACGGAGTCACCTTTATCCGGGCAATCATTTATTCTAAAAATTACAATAGTCGTTCACTGATTTGGACAGAATTCCCGTACCAAAGGGGAAAAAAGTCGACAGAATACCAAAATTATATTAGTGCTCTTCATTCCTAATTCCTGAGGGTAATGCTTTTTCGTTGTACAGTTGGTGCCAAAGGCCCCAAATATAAATTTGGCATTTGCTTCGTGGCTCTATTTCAAAGGACCCCATCATTTTTTTAATTTGAAATGCACAGTTTTCAATGCAAATCAAAGAAGGGACATTTGAAAGTTTTAAAATGTTATTTATTTATTTAAAATGTATCCTTAGAAATAAGATGTTTACAGTGTCATTATTTATATCTTGTTGCTTTACTTTCCATTACACATTTAGATTAGATTACATTCTTTAAAGTTTATCTGCTCTATATTTAAAGTTCCCTGGGTCCGCGAATTTTGTGGTCGTGTAAGGTGCAGGAAAGGTTTAAATATTTTATTCAAAACCTGAAATTGCTTATTAATTATTTCCTTTCTTTCAAATTTCAATAATTGAACTTCAAAATTGAACTTTCCAATTTTACTTTTCTAGCTTCTCGGTTTAAACTTTCCATTTAATATACCCAATTTTATCCAAAATTTTAAGTATCAATCAGATATTCAGACGGACTGCAGACTAATATCAATTAATGGAATAATGAATAATCCAAATTGCATAATGTCTATTAGAAAATTTTGTTATTGTATCATCCGTTGAAGAGTATTCGTCAAGCATAATTTTGTTTAGATATCTACACACATATATCCAAGCGAAAATGCCTTTCACATTTTTTCCAAGTGATTGAAAACATTAAAAAATGTAGACAATTTGAAATTCGATTTTATGGAGAAGTTAAAGAATGTCCCCTCAGACGATTACAGTAGTTCTGTTCCTCGAAAAGTCTCCGTTTCAGTTTCTCGGCTAGGAATTTTCGATTGTAAATATTGGGAAGGATCAAACGAAAGTAAAAACTAATTTTTCGCCTCACGAGACGATCATGTGTAATGCCCGTGGGACCGGCTACCCGTGCGTTCCCAGACGATGTTTTGTCTCAACTTTTTTTCATTTTTTTATTCCCCGATGTTTTTTACCAACTCTTTTTTTCGTACCTTTACCTCCAGTCTGAACCGCATGCCCCCAGAGGAGAGGTAAAAAAAAGCCTCTCAAAATCGAAGAGAGAATCGTCCGGAGTCTTCACGTATGTATGAGATGTTGAGAGGATGATGCAAAACAAAATAGGACGTTGCACTGAGAAAAAAAATATATTTCAGCTAACGATTGATTTTTTTTTTGGAATGCGTTTCTTCGGGGTAGTAATTTTCCGGTAGGCCAAGTCCGAGTCTAAACTCTACAGTTATCTTTAATAATTTGATTATTAAGCGATATGCCATCTTCTATAGAGATATGATTATTTTCCGGACTTTTCAAATTCATGACTTTTTAATGCAAAATAATTTTAATGAATGCTAAAGGTCAATACGTTCTGTTAATGATCGTTGAAGGTCATTGATTCAATAATAATGTAGTTTACCGTAATTTTCGTGCTTAAAATTGAATTATGACAGTTGGGGCGAACTAATGTGGAGGAAAAATATTTTATTTTTGTAAGAAAAGCGAAAAAATATGAATATCATATTCTGTTGAACAAAATGACTTCACCTTCAATTCCAACGAAAATTAATATCCATACAGGTTCTGACCTCCTCATCACGAATCTGCCATAAAAAATAGATTTTCCCAAAAAGTCACCTCTATCGATTTTCTCCACTTTCACGAGTCTATTGATAAGTTCTGTTGCCCTACCGTCACTTTTAATAAATCATAGTTGATGAGATATTCATAAATTTCCACGAGCCTCCGGTTAATTTCGCGTCAAACGTTCAACTGACAGATGTTCATGCTCTTTCGGTCATTTCACCTGACGAGATATTGTTGTAACCATTTATCACAAATTCAAGTGTATACAACACCGGAATGTATTTGAACGGTCAGCGCATTTTATTCGATGGTGCGAATGAAATTTGGTCTGAGGTAGCTAAAATAAACATTGAACAAAATTTTTTTTTTCAGCGTGCCATGAGTTGTCTATAAAACAAGTTATACATCCGGTATGAAGGCATTCCAAAATGATTACCCTCTAGGGAAGATTGTAAAAGTAGAGGTTTTTCTCTAGGAAATCATTGATACCAATAACTTCTTCCTATGGTTTTTGTGTTTGCCAATGTGGAGGATGTAAGGATGTCTGTGTGAAGAGGTAAAAGTGGTTGACCCTGAAAAAGCCGGCCACAAAGAAACCCTGAATCACCGAAGGGCTACCAAAGGCACGCGTGACGGCCGAAACAACTTATAGCCCTATACGTTTGTTGCAGAAACTCCCAAGAAAAAGACAGCGAGAAGGGTTAAAAAAAAATTAAATAAATGAACGAACCGGAGGAAAAAAAACTGAAACAAAACTCGAGTTTAGTGCGCAGGGCGTTGGCTTGGCAATTTCAAATTGGTAACAATGCCTCAAGGGATCCGCGGGATAAAGATATTTTTTATCGCGGAGAAACTAGTCTGACCAGAGTGGGAAAACCATTTGCAGGACTATTTTATTATTGATAATATCTCTCGCGAAATGGCGGAAGCCTTAGCGACAAGACATTCCTCTGAATGTGCGGTCATGAATGGTTAATGATGGCGGTTTTACGAGAGTGGACGCCTCAAAGGGAAATATTGGGAGAACCATTTGGATGTCGTGATAACCCATGTATTCTCCGGCTTCCTTCCATTCAACAGTTGGTTTATCCTCAATTACCGATTCAGGCATATATATATGCATATATATTTTTATATTTTTTTTAATTGCATCTGCTGTGGCACAATGGGAGCACTCTTTCTCGATTTTTAAGGTAACGCAAGCTGCGATTTTGACGGATTAATCGCACGAATTTCCACACGATACTTATCCCGCGAAGATCACACGTCAGTTTTACTCTCATGTATGAGATATCTGACGGGGGATAAATCTGAAACCAGTTGGATATATCGAATGGCTCGTTCCTAAGTCGTAATCCAATTCATCAACTTTATGCCAGTGAATGGCGCTCGAGAATTCGAGAAGTGTTCATTTTTTTTGTAAGCAACAATTGCAATTCCTTTATCTATGTTTTCAAATCGATGAACATGAATTTTTTTTTCTGCATTAAAAAAAGATGGAAAACAGTTTTCTTTGTGTCATTTTGATTGGGAATTAATGAAAAATGCTTTCTCAATGAGAAAAGTAATCAAAAACTTCCAGTGAATAATCTTGAACAATGACTAATTAACGTATTCTATTCTAGATACTTCATTGAGGAATCTATCATGAAATACCTATTTATTATGTAAAATAATATAAATCGAGATTAAAAATTGACATTAAACCATATGTTTGTAGACTCTTTCTTCCTATTTTATTATTTCTTCCTACTCTCATCGTTTGAAATAGGTGAAAATACGAAAGCTCAAATTCAGCAATGATTCCGATTTCTTCGCAAATGTTTTTTACATCGATGATTTTTGATGAATAATTATGTAATGAAATTGTTGAATCAAATGGCGAGAGCTGAGGGCAACGATATTCTTCTCATAGAAAATCTATCACGTTAGCTTCATCAAATGACCTTTTCAACAGGAGAAGGAAGATGCCTCTCTATGCACCATTCTATCTCACATTTTCCTCTTTGAAACCTATACTTTGTACTGCTGAATCCAATGCACCTTCGGTTACTCAAGAATACTTTACTTTCTACATTCTTCGCAAGACAATACCTCTACACCCACGATATGGCGTGCCAACTTATCCCAAGTACCATTGCTATGAGGCATAATAACGAGAATAAATTAGTTATCCAACATGACACACGCGCACTGCCTGATGGATTTTCATGAGTGATATATCGTTAATGAAAAAAGAATTATAGAAAATTACGAGATTACCTTGTGATATTCATGCAATCTATCTGCTAAGGAATTTTATCAGCGACGATCTAATTACTGAAAGACCACATCTGAATTGCAAATCGATCAATAAAAATGGAAATAAAAAATTGATCCATTCTATTTAATTTACTTCGATTCGCTGAATAGGTGGGAATCTTTGAGATCCTAGGGAAAATTGTGGTAATTTATCCATGTTTGTTTATAACAGAAAACCAAAAAAAAACAAAATGTATGAACGACTACTTGATTAGAAAGTGGGACAAATTTGCAGTGACAGGCTCATGTTCGCCAGCGGGTAAATTGCCAATAACCAAACACTTACATAAGATTCAATATATATCTCAAGGATAAATAATTATTTATATGCATTAGTCTGGGAATGAGTCTGCATCCAGGATCATTCACTCATTTTTTATTTGCCACAAGTGTCTCATCAATCGAAGGGAGTTAAAAAAAATATTTCTATTCTTTACGAGTTTTTCATTTCATCACTGGAAAGACATAAAATTTGTGGCCTGTCGGAAGTAGATACGTGTAAGTGCAAAGTGGAAATTCTGCCAAAGTCACCAAACAACATTCCTAGAACCAACACCAGTTGTAATCCTTTCCTTATCGCATTCTTCTGTATATTTAGTCATTAATTACATTAGCAAAAAATTACTGTCCAATTTATATTTTTTATTGCACATTTTTAATGCAATTAATAATTATTCACTCGATCGTTTCAAAGGTATTCGCCATGAAATATTGAATTCCATGATAATTGCAATTAATTTTCGCTTCACTCCTTGTGCTCAAAAGGCTGAACTAATTAAAATTATACGCGAACTCGAAGAAATTGAGAAGATGCGAATCTAAAATGAAAAATAATTATCGTATTTCAAAAAGCCCAATCAAACAAACACAATCAAAACTTATCCAAACGTAACATGTAGTTTTATCACAAAGAAATAAAATAATAATTAAATAACTAATTCAACTAACAATTAATGTTGCAACAACAATGCGCAATAATTACATCAAAAATAAAAAAATTTATAATACTATTTTTTTTGCCTATTTCAAAATCAATTGACATATCAATAAATTATCCAAGCAGACGCATTCGTAATTATCAAAAAATTTTGAAAGTTGATCAATAATAAATAGTATAAATATTAAATAAGTTTCTAAAGGAAACGGTATGTTCCCTCGCATGCTCGGAATTATTTGATGCTAATTCATGGAGCAAAAGTGAAAATGAAAAAATCCACAGGTACTTCTCTCCGTCTCGTCACCGGAAAATAATTCTCATTGCCATATAGACAGCATCAGCATATATTCACTAAGTGAACGGCATAATATTATCCAGCAAGTACCGGTGGTACTTGGACTCTCTCTCTCTCTCTCTGTCTCAGAAATGAAAGTAGCCATACAACATACACGTGCGTCTATATGTCAAAGACGAAACGACCTTGCCTTGTCCTCTATAACCCACCAGATCTCTAAAACCAGTTAAAGATCAAAAACGGGATATTATGAATTTATCATTATCATTCAATACTGATTTCAATTATCATTTGCTGTGGGTGGAATTCCATAGCCCCTTGGGGGTGTCCTTGTGGTGATGTTGAAACTATGAGTACCGTTTTTATCCATTTTCTTTTGCTTGCCAATTGCGGAAAATGGCAATAGATGGATAGAGACATTCGTCCCAGACGGTTTATTGGCGCTTGACATGCCTGTCAGGATGAACACCATCTGCAGCGCGCGCCAAGGTCAATCATCTTTCACAAAAACACTTCCCATTCACTTAAATTCGAGATGGAAAAATTGTGAACAACTCTGAACTTTGGAGTTCTGTGAAATTATGATTTTACGAGGAGATTAGGTCATTAGGAGAACTTCTCTTGTTGATGAGATAGAAGTGGCTTTTCTCAACTGCATCTAGACATCATTCGGGGATGCAGATTCTTGAATCGGAAATATGAATTATCGAATTGGGAATGGGTATTTCTGAATGAGGAATATGGATTTTCCAATTGAGGAGTATTTTTGTATCTGGAATAGATATTCTCAAATTGTAAATAAATATTTCCACAGAAAAATTGAATAAACCTGCAAGTTTGAAGTTTTCAATTGGGAAGCGGTGCTTAATATAATAATAATAAATATGACTGAACCTGATTAAAAAATATATATCCCCAAAATTGAAAATATTTATATTCTCAAATCAGGAATATACGGGATCTACTGCGCACCCCGTGCGCCGAATTTGAATATCCCGGCTCGAGTTGTCCAATAGGGAATTAGTTTGACGAGTTTCGAGATATTTCGACTCAGGCGGACTTCATTTATGTGTCTCTGATTTCATAATAAGGACTAGTCTGGAATTCAAAACGTGGATTATTACCGAACGTAAGAGAGAATATGCATTCGCGATTCGTGAATAATTATCTCCGAATTGAGCTTATTTGTTTTCTATGTTGGACGTACATCACATTATTTCATGTGTTCATATATCTTCTATTTACTTTAGATTAAATTCCCATTGATTATTGCAACTATCATGTAATAAAACTTAAACCTCATAAACACCACAATAACGAATGCAGCTAAACTCAAGAAAAAAATGTTACACCACGATTTTCCCCGAGTCTCTTTACCCATTCTATTTTATAACCCACAAACAATAACTTCCTACATGCTTTTACTGAAGATGCAATTTTCAGTGAAGAAAAACTATTTTTTTTTGCGGCAGTCAGATCCAGTGATTTATGCAGGGACCAAATCCAGCATTTGACTCCTACTAAATGATTCAAGGAAGAAAGAATTGATTGCTATCGATAACTCCTGGCATAATGTACGCATGAAAAATCATAAAACAGCTCTCAACAACTACCACATTGAATAAAATT